AATTATTACATAGTGTAAATTTACTATTTAGGATGTTGATCATTGCAATATTTGGTAATTCCAAATTTGGAAAAAATCCTGACTGAATGTGATAAAATCGATTAGCGATCTTTTTTATATTGTGTGACCATTCAAATTCAATTATTTAAAATAGAAAAAACATGGTCATAAATAACATGATCAAAAATAGTTGTAAAACCCAAAAAATATTTTGCAATAATATACCTTTCATTGGAAACTTTATTTTGGTTAAAAATAATCCCGTTAATCCCGCAAACTGCAAGATCTTGTTATGAACCAAAGATTTCAAGATGCGCAAAAATTTTATTTTTTTTTATTTTGAATCGGCTATTGATAGCTGATAAAATTTTTCTGATATAAAAAATCTTTTCTGTGAGCATCATGAAAATGATCTTTGAGATTCAGCCGATCATCTATAAATAAACATCCAGGTTGTTGTCCCTGTGGTTGTTGTAAAATCTTCTTTAAAAGTGACTGTTTTTACTTTGCTGTTCGTTAAATTGACCAATAAGAATGATCAAAACTTTAATTTGTGTTACCATTAAAGAATACTCTTTAAGAGATAATATTTTTAATTATTGATTCAAATGCCTTTGTTTGTTATAGAGAGTGTTTACTAAGATGTTCATTATAAAGAAAAATTAATTATAAAAAAATGAAAATGAAACCTCAGTGCTGCAAATGTTCTTGTTTGACATTCACTTCTATACACATTAATAGCCCATAGTACACACCCTACAAAAAGTATCGACTTACTTGATGATCCGCTAAAATAATCGAATAAGCGGGTAATACAAATACTCATTTTTTTACTATTACTAAGCAAATCGGTGTTGTGTATTAGAGAGAAAATGTTTGTTGAAATGATTACCATAACATTTTAAAATATCACATTTATTGTTATTGATAATTTTATAATGTTTAAAAAGTCAAATTAAAATTTTTCGAAAATTTTTCGAAAAAGTAGCACTTAGAGCTATTTTAAGATACAATGTTTTAACACATCTTGGGAACTTAGAAAATGTTGTTCCGTTTGTTCTCAAATGTATATATATACACGTTCATAATTATTGATCGAATATTCATGGAGCATTAATACAAAACGTAAAAAAAATTGTGATGAATTTTTTATGCAAGATGATTATCATTATGCATGAACAAACTTTAAAGGGCAATTGCGGCTGAAATATCTAACCAAAACTAGATTTTTTTTAAAAAAAAAAAAGATTGAGCTTTCAATTTGTTATTTCAATTAAAACATTATGTCTCAACTCAATTAACAGACTTTGAATAATTGGACATTGGAAAGCAGATGAAAGCGTTTGCGACATTGCTGGTGCACTCAATCATTCTCAGTCACAAGTAACTTGTGCAATAAAAGCATTTAAGATCAAACTACTATTGCTCCCCCAAAAAATACAAATGAATTAATTTCTTATTTAATGGATGAATGGGTAAATCTTGATCATGATTATTTGCAACAATTAGTAGACAGCATTCCTTGAAGGGTCCAAGCTGTAATTGAATCAAAAGGAAGCCCAACAAAATATTGAATAAATGAATGAAATATTTATATTTTTTTGATACTTTTGATATAAATTTAATAAAGATTTATTATGTAAAATTATTATACAAACTGTTGATGAAATTTTTTTTCGTTATTTTTACGTTTTGTATTAATGCTCCATGAATATTCGATCAATAATTATGAACATGTATATATATACATTTGAGAACAAATGGAACAACATTTTCTAAGTTCCCAAGATGTGCTAAAACATTGTATCTTAAAATAGCTCTAAGTGCTACTTTTTCGAAAAATTTTAATTTGACTTTTAAACATCATAAAATTATCAATAACAATCGGCCAGATGTGATATTTTAGATTGTTATGGTAATCATTTCAACAAATATTTTCTCACTAATACACAACATCGATTTGCTTAGTAAAAAAATGAGCATTTTTATTACCCGTTTATTTGATCATTTTGGCGGATCATCAAGTGAATCAATACTTTTTGTAGGGGTGTGTAGTCCCTCGATTTTCATGTTACAAAAAAAAGAAACTGTAAAAATGATAGATTAGAACTTCCTCTTTCAAAATTATGGTGTACTTTTTTGATTTTTCAACTATGTACAAAGTTATTAAGGTTTAAAAATCACAAGTTTACTAGTATATTTCAAATTTCGGACACTGATCATTCAAATTCTGTCCAATAAAACTCCTAATAATGATCAATTTATGTCACACAAGAAATAGCATGTAAATTTTGAAATTGAATATTAAGATATTTTACATCAATATTAATTAAATCATTATTAATTGTTATAAAAGTTCAATCAATAAAACAAGATAAAATGCCTCTATCTTCAAAAGGAAAAAGAAAAAGTAAAAATCAAGTAAGAAATGCAGAAGGTAAGTATGAATCAAAAAAGGCATGC